TTTTTATTATATTTGTTTTTGTTCAAAATTTCATTATATAATACGATAAATATGAATACGAAGATATAATAATATGAATATAATACAATAAATATGAATACGAAGATATTATCAGTGGCTTATCAGAATTATCAGTGTTAAGGTTGTAAACATTGGCGGATAGCAATCGGACGCTAACCGCTATTAAACAAGTACCGACAAGGTACTTGTATGAGGCTCTGCCGCTACATATACCACAACATCCTCAGCCTCAAACTCAACATCTTATTATTCAAAATATACCTAATCGTCAACTTAAATATCAAATTCTCATATTCCCCCTTCATCAAATACCACAGCTCATACCAGTTTATTAATATCATTTCTCCCTGCTTTCAAACCTTCTGTTACTTAAGTATTCCATCTCACCTCTTCTTTAAAAAATCCTTAAATAACGTCAAAGAAATCAGTATCCAAATGCGAATGATATTCAAAATCATACCTACGAACCAGCTTCCCATACCTTATTACTTGACAAAATCGTTCATGTGAACTCCACTAACCTCTAAACAGTTTTTCAAAATACCACAATACTTGGCGTATCGAACCGAATAATCTTACTGGTGAATACATACATGCACTGCTGTCACTGTTCATCAGCCTCTTTCTCATCTTCTACTTCTTAAGCCTATTCACAATTTCCTGTAAGCCACTGCTGTTGTTATCAAGACTGCTATCCCCTCACACTTGCTTAGCATATTGCCCTCCTAACCAATCCATATTCAATATACAGTTCAGTCCACTCCTCAATTCCTTGGGACATCATATCATTCATCAACAATGAGGTTATGGAACCACGAATTCACGTGGACAAACATTGCTATCCGCACTGAATTCACATCATTCAACCTTCCTTTCCCTAGCTCTCCTACATATTTCTCCACCATATCCAGATATCCATGATTTAAAACATTAAGTTAGGCCCTCTTAATTACACGTCTAAATGAACTCTGTTCATAGCCCATTAACTCTCCAAGTTTTACTAGCTATCATTCCCAAACCTTTTCCATCGTTTTTCATAAGAAGTCTAGTTAGCTGGAATCTTTTTCGTTAAATCTTTTCTGAGAAAAATGACCTTAGATATCATTTACTAGTATTATCCAACAGGCTGTTTGGACCGCTTCCTCCCCAATCGAGTCCACCAGAATTCTTGATGAAAATACTTTACCTCGACATCTCTCTGATCTCATGCATTATAACGCCGTGCCAGATCATTATGGCAACATACCAGACATCCTGCAGATCGTAGCTCCTACAACTATTAGTGCAAACAATTAAAGCTGAAATGAGCCACCTCAACGAAATTAGCAGAATTCAATCCTATCTGTCCTCACAATACCCTGTGTAATATCAATACAAATATTCTAAAATTCTCTATCATCTCCAATGATATTAAGCGTCTGATGCAAGGAGGAAATCGGGATGGACAGGAATATGAGAGGTAAAAGTATTTAATACTCTAATTCGGTATTCATCTTTTTGTACACCTTCTACGTCCATTGTTCTTTCAAATGTGGGTTCTATGTGACTATTACTGATGTTACTTGTTGATTGTAATTGCCTAATGTATTGTGCCTTTAATATTCTCAAGAAACAAAACATTATTATATCTACTATATTTTAAACTAATGTTGATAAAACATTACATATAGATACATATTAATTATATAAATGAAGAGGGCGATACTTTTTTTTTGGGAGTGAGGGGGGAGGGATCATGTGCCATCAGCTCTGGTGAGGATTTGCAGCCCTGATTAGGTCAGTGTGTTATTAAGTGGATTTTAATTTAAGGTAGGTTTTATCCTCATCAATGCAACCTCACAGGGCTTAAATGTCTATTTTTTTCAAAATATCTACTTCTAAAGTATCTTCAATTTTTAATAATTAACCATTTCACATTAATCTCTTATGTAAAAAATGGCCCTCGAGCTATCCTGAAAGATTGTACAGACTTCCTTCCATACGTAACATGAGCTTAATAATACAGACTCTGACAATATTATGTATATATACATAGGTATGCGGTTCTCAAAAATGCTATCATTGGCATTATTTAATATTTAAGTGTGTAGATTACAGCGGTATAAAAATGAAAATTTGTATATATACTGGTAATTAAAGAAATAAAAATACCCATAATAAAATAAAAATAAATATAGCTCCTTTCTTTATCAGTGGCATTCTTGCCAGAAAAAAATATTTCATGACACTTAATTTATTATAAACAATTTAAATATACAGTTGGAAAAGGAAATGACTAGTGTCAAACAAATAAAATATAATACATTAGAAGACTATGAAAAACATATGGTAATTCATTGTTTTAAATAATGTTTCTTTCCTTCTACAACTTTTACTTTCACTTCCCTTTGTCTTAAAATAGATATTTCTGCTAAGAAGAGGATAGAAAGTGAAAGTTGTGTGATGCTCACATCACACCAGATTTTTAAAGTTTAGGATGGTCAAGTTTTGTTTGGAAAAGGTTCCACCCGTTTTTCAAAAAATCCCTTTTTTAAGAATAAGACGATTTTGATGACCCATAAAATTTTATTGCATCCTATCTAGGGTGGCAGATGTCTATATTAAGTCTATTGTGAGGATATTTTCGTAATCTACGGTCAGAAAACTTTCTTCAAATCAAACCACCTTTTCGGCCTCAGGGCCCAGACTAATTGGTACTGAACCATTTATCTTTCAGAGCATTCTTGGTTAAAAAAAGTAAATAAATAAAATTAAATTCTGGATATGGTACCGCAAGAGAGAAACATTAATTATACAGTGATATTTAGTAACTTGCTCTATTGTATCACAATTCTTTTTTATGAGTAAGAAAATTATCTTATTACTGATTTATTTACTTTATGTGTTCTATTTATATTTTTCTCTTGGATTATTTATTCACTTTCGTCTGTATCTTAAATTTCTGATATAATTTTTAGTCTTAATGATGACCTACATGCTTGTATTGTAGAAAACTAGAATTAAAAAAAAAATGATTATACATCTTTTTAGATAATTTTTAAAAAAAAGGTCAACAAAAATCTTTTAAAAAAACAATTAATTTTATAATGATTGTAAGGATTTCCAATTAATCAATGTAAATAAAATATAAAAATATTTATTACCTGTTCACTGCTAATCAAAGTTCATATTTGATTTTTAACAAATACTTCTTACAATAACCTTATCGTAATTAATTAATTAATTTAATAAGCTATGGAATGATAGTTCTAAAACTTACATTTATCAACTATTCTAATTTGTTTTTATTTTTTAAATTAATACTATATTCAGTTAAACTTCATATTTTAACTAACAAAATCACAGATTTTAAATACATGTTCTTAACAATAAATGTATATCTATATAAAAATCACAAATTTTTACTAGTATATAAAATTATAGAGATCCTATTACTGTAACATCAATGTTACATTTAATATTATTTTATTGTTTTAAAAACATTAATCATAATAAAGATTGAAAAAAGTTACAACAGTAAAATAAAATATTTACAAATTTTAATAATAGTCACACTTTTTTGTATAAGAAAAATTTGGATATAAACATACATATATGTTCAAATTTATAAAATAAATAAATATTAAAATTGTGACCGGAGCTTTTCTGAAAAATAAATGAACTAATTAATTGAATCATAATTAAAAAATAATTTATGTATTTTAATTTATAATTTATGTATTATATATCAATACACAGTGCGGCACTAAAAACACATATTATAACTATATCACAGAAATTAAGTTGGTAGGTCTACTAGTAAGTTTTCAGAACAATTCTTTTTGATTTTTTTTTTTCCTCATTCAAATATTATATTTAAATAAATTAACTTTTTGTCACTTTCTGGTTTCTTTTGATACAAATATCTTTTATATAATTTCTTAACTTTTTTTTTCTTCCATGTTATTTTTTAACTTATCAACTTATTCTCTGTGACTAAGATATATAAAATTAAGTTTTCCAAGGAAAAAATAAGTTCTTTTTTGTCTAAAATATAAAATACAACTTAAAATGTTGAAGCTATATACATAATATCAATTGTTGGCACAATTATTAATATAAACAATTCAGGTATGTACATTTATTTATATTAATTTCCTATTGCTTAAATAAGCTGCTTCAAATATGCTTCAAAAATTTTAATATCGTTTTTTCTATAAAAATTTTAAATTTAAAAATATAAAATTTTCATCTGCTTGTAATTTGAGCGGTTAGGACTTGCTTCTTTTGGCAGAAAATTACTTTCAAATTCATTTTAAAAGAGTTTATGGTTAAAAAAATTAATAAATCAGGTGTTCATGATTGAATGAGGAATGGCTATTTAGACCTCGATAAGAAAGATTTCCATTTGATCGAAACAATTTAAAAAAAATAAAAAATAAAATAAAAATAAGATTTCAGTTTTATTAATTAATTATTAAAACTTGAAGTTTCATCATTAAAATTTTATTTAGTTTAATCCATTTTCAACTTATAATTTTATATTCTACTACAATTGTATAATACATTCTACAGTTCACATTTTAGAATAAACCAAATTAAACAAAATTCTTAGTTCTCAACTAATCTTAATCAATGACAATCATATGAAAAACAAAATTTTTTTTTATTGTCTAGTTTTATTAAATCTAAATATATAGTGTTATTTTATTTAAGGAGTCTTTGTACATTTTGTAAAGCTATAAGTTTTCATTTATTTTATTTATTTATAGAAGACTGTAACAGTTTTGATCTTGTTGATTTAGGTTTTAATAGAATTTTATTTAGTATCAAATTAGTTTTGAATTAATTGTTTTTAGTTATTAAATTTATCTAACAAAAAAAATAACAATTATATTGCACTTGGATTAAAAATTGATTTTAAAGACTTATCTGTGTATATGAAGCCTATGCATGAAAAACAATTTATACAAAAAAATAAAATGAAGTAATACTTCAAAAATATTGAGGGTTATATATAAATAATATCAATTATTGGTCAAATAGATAATTAAATTCAGTTTAGTTATCCAATCTAGATTTCATTTTCTATTTATTAACTTAGCTATGAACAAAATATCTATTTCTTTATTATAAATTAAGTATAGTTTTTCAATATGTACAAAATATAATTACAAGTATATACAATTCTTGAATAAATATATTTAAATTATATAGAATAGATGGTGTTCGGTTCAATGTGAATGAAAAAGAAACATTTTACATAATTAAAATTAATTTAACCTTATATACCCACAAAATAATTATTTTTTGTAAGTTTTTTAAGGTATTATTATTACCTTTATTGAGTTTCTTAAACCCAAAAAATAATTAAGTTATGGGATTAATGTCATACTGTACAATGAGGGCAGTAATACTCTGTATCACTATTATCAATAAATGCATATAATGATGTTTCTTATTAGGTCATCATTAAATCTTAGAAACAGCAGTTGTTCCAGTGGCAAGATATCCTTAAACATACTTTACCAGCTATACAATTTTGTTACTTTAACTTTTTTAATTAATTATTATAAAAATTATATACATGAAACTAATAAGTGAGTATACAATTATATTTTATGGCTTAGGTAGATAGGATCTAGGCGATTCAACAGTATGTATTGAAAATCGGTGACGGCCGTCTGGACTAGTTACTACTACACTTGGTGTTGGCGGAAATCTGGTCGGAGTAGCTCGGCCACTATTTAAAGGACTAGCTTTTGAAGCAGTTGATACTTTTTTAAACCTCCTATCGACTGGATTGACCAATGGGTACATAGGAGATATTGAAGCTGCTCTTCTACGGTTAAAATGCCCATCGCTAGAATGTCCCGTATGGGGAAGCTGGGAATGCCTCCGTTCCTTTGGAATAGCATACTCCATAGAGACTGTTGACTTTGTTCTGTTTCTTGGCACGTCTTTTGTTTGGAATAAATTTCCTGGAAAGGCTGAAGTGGGACTCGATGCACGGCTGCTTTCCATCTGATACGTTTTCAGGGAGTTGACAGCTCTGATGAAATCGGCGATGCTTGTCTGCTCCAAAACTGGGCTGATCGGAGTGTTGGTACCGTGCGGAGTAGCAAAAAGGTCAAGGATGCTCGGACGTCTGTTTGATGTATGAGTCAGGTAATTCAGCTGGAACAATAAATTATTAATTTAGTGTTTCTAAATAATATTTTATGAGCTGTTCAGGTTATGATTTGAGAGGATCGCTGAATTTTGATGAACATAAATACAAACTTGTCCATAACAGGGCTTTGTAACAAGTTCCTCCTATATTTTTATGTATCATTATTAGAATAGAACTCTTTTTTTTTAATCATGTACATAAATTGATTAACTTTTTAGTACTATGTTATGAAAGCTATTATCAACTATTTCACAACTATATAGAGTGTCCTGTAATTAAAGGGAAATTATTATAGGAGTGATAGCAGACATCAAGATCTACAAAAAAGTTCATATACACAATTGCCCAACTTCCGGAAGAAAAGTATAAAATTTAAGATTCTTTTTTTTTTTAAAGCTTGAGATGTTTTTGGATGAATAGGAAGCAACAGCTAAAAAAATAATTAATTCAAGAAATTAAATATTGCTCAATCATAAACTAGATAAAATTTACCTCAAATGAAAATAGAGGTTGTCATTGTTAAAACCATTTAATGAAGACTATTGGGCAGACAAAGCTAAATTTTGTTTATAAAAATGTGATTAATTATTTATGTTTTTTTTTTCACCCTGCAACTGTACTACATTTACCCCACTTTTACAAAAACTTCCTTGTTCAATAAGCTTTAAGTTCATATTAATTAAGTTGAGGTTTATTAGAAAAAAGTTAGAGATTTTTTATCTTGCCACCTAAAAGTTTCCCTGTTTTCAGCAAAAATTACTACAATTAATAATTCCAAAGCTTTTATTTCTTCTTTTTTCCAGGATATGGGATGTATTGCAATAAACATAATTGTCAAAAACACATTTTATTTATAAATACAAAAAATTTAAAAATAATGATTTTAAAAATATTTTTCATGTAAAGTGGTTATGAAACTGTGTTTTTTTCCTCCCAGATCTCTGTAATAGGAATATGTATTTATCAGTGACAAACTTAATGTTTCTTAATAAAATTTATATTTAAAATAAAGAAACCTACTGATTGCTTCAATTATTTTCATGAAAACGTAAATATTGGGGCTAGAAATGTAAAGTTTGTAGTAGACATCCCCCTGTATTTACTCCTTTAGGTGACATCATGTGAGGGAATGAGAAGGAATATATTATAGGAATGTGAGGTTGCAAGATGAATTGTACTCAATTATGCAGTGGACAAATTATTCATTGAAAAGTCTCATATCGATAAACAATCGATGAAGAAGGAAGCTGGAAAAAGGAAAGAGCAGGTAGCAACAGGGAGGAGGACACCAGAGAAGAGAGGAGATGGCACTTGAGGTGGGGACATGGAGGCATGGATTTATTTTACATACAGTTGTAAAATAAATTGTTTTGTTAGACAGGAGTGAAAAATCATTTATTTATTTAGTTGTCCTATATGCCTTAAGATTGAAGAATAACAAACCAGGTGAGTCAATTCATTCAAAGTGTATTTACTCTTTCCCACATTACAGATATATCTTCTTATTGTTTCTTGTCACCCAGCGTCATAAAAGGTATTAGATTCCCGAATTCCCAACAGTTTAACACCCTTAAAAAGTCTATATCTAGTGCCGGGGTTTTGTTTTAATATTCACGAGTGTAAATAATCTAGTTCCCTAATATAAAACCGGAAGGCTATTCGCAATTCCCGCCAAAATAAATTATTTACATTTAACTTTTAACATGGTTATTTACAAGTTTGTCACTTAGAAATACGCATCAATTCCTATGACAGAAATCTGAGCGAAAAACACAATTTCATACATAATCGCTTTACGGGGAAAAATATTTTGTATTTATAAATAAAATGTGTTTTTAGGCAATTATTTTTATAACAAAAACAATTGCCAAACAAAAAATAAAAGCTTTTCTTCTTCATCATTTCTTAACACAACTTGAGGTTAATCTCAAAATTTTTCTAATGAACCTCAATTTTATTAATATTTACTTGATATTTATTAATCAAGGAAGTTTTTCTAAAAGTGAGGTAGCTGTAGTGTAGTTGCATGATGATAAAAAAAAAATCTTGAATAATTTATGAATTTTTTTTAAACAGAACTTAGCTGTGTTTGTCCGCATAATAGTCCTCTTTAAATAGTCTTAAGAGTGACAAACTCTAGTTTAGTTTAAAATAAATTTTCTCTAGTTTACTATGAAGCAATTTTTAATTACTTAAATCAAATATTTTTTTAAGTTATCGCTTCCTATTCATTAAAAAACGTGACTCACTTAAAAAAATTACAAATCTTAAATTTTCTACTTTTCTGCTGGAAATTGGACAATTGTTTATATGAACTTTTTTGTAGATGTTGATATTTGCTATCACTCCAATAAAAAATTTTCTCTACTTACCGGACACCCTGTATATCAGTTTTATGTTTTATACTAGTTTAAAAAATATATACTGCTGATGATAATATGTTATGAGCCCTAATAGCATCATTAACATAACTAAAATGAATTTTTGGTATGATACTTTAGTTATGGTATTTTTTAAAAATAAAAACTCACCTTAATTGATTTAATCTAAGCATTGTTCTTAATTGTATCATCGCATTGAACCATTATCAATCATTTCTGATCATATAATGACTTGCATTATACAAAATTTTATCTTTGTATTAATAAATACTGTTATATTGTACAATATCAATTAACAATATATATATATATATATATATATATATATTTAAAGCTATGTTACATGCAATGATGTAGAACATTCAAATTTACCTGGTCTGCAATATCATTCATATCGTTGGGTCCTTGCTCCTGAAGAGAGAGCCTGTGTTTATGAGGGATTTTATTGAAATTGTTTCCAGTTTTCCTTTTTTTGTTACTGTCTGAGTCCCTAGCAATGTCAGCTGCCTTCTTCTTCAATTTGCTGGTAGGCGAGAAAAAATTTAAAGCAGCTATTGACAATCGTCTAAGACCAGATCTTGGAGGTTCTATATCTCCCAAGCCCATCTCCTGGTCCCTCGGCCATTCGTTACTTTTAGCTCTGCAAAAGAAAAAAAAAATGAGCTAAATAAAAATCATAATTATATATATTAATAGTTATGAAGTACATGTTTAGACATAGAAATTTCTACAAATATTATTGTTATATCTAGTTGGCCCGTGCGAAAAATTCGCAGAAAATTTTGTTTAGTGAAGAAATAGCAAAACAATATGGAAATAAGTAGTTCCTATGTATTATGTAAGAAAGGAATTAATATTTTTTCCTTGGTCGATTACAATATTCCATTTAACATAATAGACAAAAATATTTGTACAAATTGCTTTGCTAGGACCTATTTTTAAACGCTGACTGGAAAGATAATTAAAGTAATAAAGACAAAATAATGCGCCAATTATGGGATTTTCTAAATTATTAAAAAAAATAAAATGTAAGAACAAACAAATGCCTTTAAGAAATAATAAAGTTAATATACAGCCAGGAAAAAAATGTAGTAGACTATTCTACTCTAAATGCAATATCTTTAAAAGGAAGACATTATTAAGTATACCAAAACTAATGGACTGTATATTTGTTAATAATTGTCCGATTTTTTTGTTTTTGTTTTGCAGGTAATTTAATAATCTTTCTAATTATCATGGGTACAATCCAGAAAAAAAAGCACTTTTTGAGTTATCCACAAATAAAGTTTCTTTTCCTTCATAACTTTTCCAGAAATTTCGAGGGAATAGGACTATTTCATGTGAAGGAGAAGAATATCTTCAAAATGAGTGGTCAATCATTGGATTTGATGAAGAATTGACGAAGTTATGGTGTACCGACAAAAAAACACCTTTTAGAAATAATATATAGGATTACTGTTAAATAAAGGGACCATTTTTTATTTTTAACCATTGATAATTTCACTTTTAAAATAATGAATAAGATTTATGTTTAGTTGCAAACTTGAGATAATAGTGTATCTGGAAGGTGTGGTAGGGACTGAGAATGAGGCCACTCTAGTGTGATTTATACGGATACTAACCACAATACTCTCAAGCATCTCTAAGTTCTACTTTTTAAACATTCAGTTTTAAAAGCTATTAAAATACATTTTAATTTTACTCAGAGAGGACGCCTACAAGATAATGACCAATATCCTACTAAACCAGAAATATATACGTATTACAAAAATATAATAGGCAACCACTAAGCTGAATTCAGAAAGAAGAGGAGCATGCTAGACCAGATCTTCATCCTAAAACAAGTACTCGGAAAGTTATGGGAAGTAGCTAAGGACGCCTATGCCCTATTTGTCAATTTCAAAGCAGCCTATGATTCTGTGGACAGGAGCTGACTTTGGAAAATCATGAGTGAACTGGGAGTTCCCGCTAAGTTGGTGAGATTGACAAAGGCATGTACAAATGGTCCCAAATATAGAGTCCCAAATGTACAAGGAGAAGTGGCTGAAGCCTTCAAAGTTCGAACGGGCTTACAGCAGGGAGATGGACTTTCACCGATGTTGTTCAACTTAGCCTTGAAGAAGATAATAAGAACAACATCACAGGAAAATGGAGGGGTCCACATCGGAATGAATGATAAAATCCTTGGATACACAGATGATGTAGTTGTCATTGGAAGTAATCAAGAGGATATTGAGAAAGTCGCTAAGCCTCTGATAAGAGAAGCAGAGCAGATAGGTCTACAAGTAAATGAAGATTAAATAAAATATATGATAATAAAAATTAAAATCTCAAATTAAGGGTGTACAACACAATGATAAAGCCAGTTCTAATATATGGCTGTGAGACCTGGATACTAACCAGCACCCTAGATAAAAGTGTTTATAGATTTGAAAGTAAAATCCTCCACACGATAACCGGAGCGATCTGGTACATTCAGAGTATTAACAAATAAAGAAAGACCAATAAAGAACTGCTTACAGAAACTGGTCAATCAACATCCCATGATATGAAGGCACGGAGGTTGAGATGGGTAGGGCATGTAGCTTGTAGCAATCCATCTGGAAGCCTGTCTCTACGTAACAATGAATGTCCCAATAGAAGGTAAAAGACCACGTGGAAGACCAAAAAGCGGATGGATAGATAGAATCAACAAAGATGCAATAGAGCTGATAACTAGAAAAAAATAACGCAAGGTAGGCAGAGATGGAGTAGGCTTGTTAAGGCGGCAAAATGTCTGCAAGATCTGTAATGCTGATAGAAAAAAAAAACCAGAGAGGACACGGTGAATGAAAAAGTGGAAAGATATTTCTTGGATGTGTTTTGAAACTGAAAGATTGTAAACTGACCAAAAATTAGTAGTTGAATTTTTACATTATCTTTAAAATATTTCAACAATGAATTCTCTGAATTTATACTTAAAAAAAAATAAGTGAAAGTAAAAAATATCATGTTTGGTGTTCTCTAATTAATAATTAATTCAAAGGGTTTATGGAATTAATTGTCTTAAAAGTATTATTCAAGGGACATAATATGTTATATGCATGATACAAACTTTTAAAAAACATGAGTGTATGAAAACATTTTCAATAAATTCATCTAACTGCTGTGTTTTAACTTAAAACTCCCATGATCTCCTAATGTTGACTTATTAGATTACTATCAGTGGATAGTTTTTCAACAAGTGTTTTCATGTCACCATATTCATTTGTACAAATTTAATAGATGATTTTTTTTAATAAAGTTGTAAATATCAAAAATTAATATAAAAAAAACTTAAAACTGTGTTTTTACAAAATGACCAAACTGTCGATTGTATCCCAGGGCTTCTCAGTCATACATTTGACAAAGTATTCTACAGAATATTAAACTGCAAGCATTAAAGGATAACAAACATGAATCAAAAAATATATGCATAATTACTTACCTCATAGCTCGAAGAACAGCAAATTGATGGAGTGATTCAACTCCCGCCCATGTCTTCTGTTGCCCAAGACCTCCGCTTATAAACTGAGCATCAGACATGGCTCTTCCAGGTCTTCTTAGCGGTGCTCCGCCTATTGACCAAGTCATATCAACACTATTTTTGGTGCTGTTCTGGTCTTCTGAAGCTAAGATTTCTTCGTCAGTGAACCCATGAATTCCACCATCCTTAAATACCAAAAAGAAACATTAATCTTAAACAAATAAATATTTTATCACTTGAATATTTGTGTATTAAAACATTTTTATGGAATTTCCAGACTTTTCTCTAATGTTTTTGGAAAAACTTCAGATAATTGAAATTGTTATAATAGGGAATGTTTTAATTTGAAATATCTGGAAGCTGCATACATTTATCATGCCACTAATATGAAGTCTGACAATCAATAACTGGCTAAATGCCAAATTAAACATCTGAAGTAGTGTTTCACAGAACTTTCGTTAAATTAGTCATTTAAAAAATAAATTAAAATAAGTACATTTAAAATGCAATGCATAGAATTCAATACGTTGTAACTTTGATAATACTGGTCCAATTTAGATGAATTTCTGTTTTTCTACTAGTACTTCGGTAAGAAGCAAAGAGCTGGATTATGAATGAGAGACTCCTAAGTCACATCACTGCCTCGGGAATGAAGTTTCTTGGGAGAATTGTGGGTGAAACACAGAGGCATTGTATTCGGAATGACAGATTTAGGGAAGAGCTGAACATATGTTCAATGACAGATATCCTAGAGAAAAAGGCAACTGAGGTCGAGGAAGATGTGGAGGGAAGAACTCGAAACCTTGCTAGGAATAGATATGCTTGGTGCCAATGGCAAGAAGCACCTCCATAGCGAAAAGTAAGTGGATGGAAGAAAAGGAAGAAGAAGACTTAAGAGACTGTTAAATGTAAAGATCCATTGAAAACAGCAGGTCAAAAATTTTACCCGATCACAAGACTTTCTTTACCTTGTAGTGGTAGAAAAGTGGAAAATTTAGTTTGACAATTCAAGGGAAATAATTATCATTGCTAGCAACTTAAAGAGTGGACTACAATCTTTGATAGATTGATAACTATGATAAAAAAAAAAAAAAATTATAAACCTCAGTAATATATTGTGATTGATAAAATAATCTTGTAAAATATTTTGTTAAAAAAGATAAAGCTTGGGACTTAAAAGAAATGGGACTTAAAAAGGTGGGCATAGCTATATGAATTTTTGTCTTTTTTGGCTTATGCCGCCATAATTATTATAGAGACATTTAGAATCTCTGTTTTTTTTTTCTATTTAACACTTTAAAATTGAAAAAATATTCAGTTATGCAGGTATAATTTCTATTTAAAAAAACAACATCTTTTTAAACTAGTGATGGGTACCACGACATTCAATTGTTCAAGTAATTGACAGGGGGTCAGCACCAGTTGTAGACATACCTCAGAAAAATTATAAAATCTTTATTTATAAAGATAATATAACATAAATGTTCAACTTAATCTTAGCAAAACTTTATAATTTAAGCCGTCTCCATCTGGAATACCATCCCTCCCGATATCCGACATGCTCAATCAGTTTCCTCATTTAAATCTCTCCTTTTTAAGCACCTACTTCTTTCCCAACCCGATTGATCATGAAAAGTAGATAAGAGAACTTTTTAAGTTCCCCCAGAAATGGTTTTGTTTAATTATGTTATTTTATTTTCACATGTTTGTATTGTATATATCTGTATGTATTTAGTGGTTTTGTTTTATTTTTCTTCCAATATTTTTATTTTAATGAGCATTGTAAATATTTAATTTAATTTTATGGCCACACAGGCATTTCCTCTGTATCTATAATTTGTCCTAAAGGGACAAAAGTCCCAGGATAATAAAAATCTATTTTCTTTTCATTTCATTTCAAAAAACTGTAAGTATGAATGTGATTTTTAGCAAGGATCTCAAGAGAACTATTGAAATAACAATAATAGGCATTTTAAAATTTTCTTCGGGAAACTATGTTCATACAGTTGTTGATAGAGAACGTTACTCTTCAATCTAAAAAAAACTGGAACCTTTAAGTCAACAAAGAAGCTTATTATTTACATTTAAAGTCCAACCTGTCCATCACTGGACCCCCTGTCCATAACTGGTGCCTTTACCCTAAACTGAATTTAAATATAAAATAAATTGTTAAATAACAAAATTGAGGTTATAATGAAGTTATATAGAGAGGATCCATCAACCCCAAAAGCAATGGAACTGCCAAGCTATCAATGATTCAATCACTGAATTAAGGAACCTGCTGAATTTAATTTATGAATGAATTGATAAGTTTAGGAACTTGCGAAATTGTATAGGAGACCTGTTACATTATACATGACTTACACAAAACTCATGCATTTAACCACTATAAATTGATAAAATGCTAATTTCTTACCTTATATTCCTCAGAATCAGATTCACTTCCAGCTCCAAAAGCTGAGTTAATAAACATCCCAGAAGGATCAAAATGTCCTGGAAAGGTAGCTTGCCTATCAATACTTTGGAGGGCTCCGTCAGAGAAAACTCTTTGAAGACGCGGTTTTTCATTTTCAGACATGGCCCTTCTTCTTTTAGGCATTTCAACATTAAGAAGATCTTGTTCAATTTCATTCTTGGATCGAAGAACTGGCCATTCACTCAAATTAGGGCAGCTCTGGCTCAAAGGTCTTGAGGATATCATTTTTCCTTTGTATACTGGCTGTTGAAAATATGTTATTAAAAATTTATTCATTGTAGTTAAATTGTCAGAGAAAATTGGTAAAATGTCATTTTTTTTTTATTACCCTCACCTTGCCATTTCTGGCACAGAGGAGGTTGTTATAGAGGTAGAAGCAAAACTATTCTAAACAGACTGGGAAGGTCAAGATTCATTCTGTGGGTCCACCACAAAATAAATTTCAACATGCTCAGACTGGATTTGAACATGCTTCTCTCAGACTCGGGAATGCTAAAGTTACATTTTAACACACTCGGCCATCATGACCTCTAGTTGATTTATGATTTTAGAACTTTATTTAAGTATAACACTAAATACTTTACTGAATTTAATTCAAGTTTTAAAAAAGATAGTAAATTTTAAAATGGTAGAGAAATAGTAGATAATATGGCTTGGAAGTTAGTTGACATTTGAAGTCACAGAGAAAAAAAAAATCCATTTTGTGCTAATGTATCGGTCTAAGTTTTTATAAGTTTGAAGCCATCATCAGGGCTGAGAAAAGACAAGATAACAACCAAACAAAAAATATTACAAACATAAAAAAAGATATGTAAACAAACATTATATGTTACCAGCTAATAAAAATAAATTTTAAGAAGTGAGATAAATTAAAATATATAAGTACAATATTTAATGGTAAAGCATGAACATAAATGTAAAATTTTATGACCAGTAGTACGTTTTCAAAATTTTATTATGAGAAGATAATGGCCTGTGTGATATAATAAGAGCAATTTTTTTCACAACTTACATATATTAGTCTAATTTATTGAATTTTTTCATGTTGTATTACACAATCCATTATCTTTGTACTAGATTTATTACAAATTACTAAACTATTTTTCTCAAATGCTATCAATTTTTGGACAAAATAAATGTTGCCGCTGAGTATGATTAACTATAAAAAGTAATAAATAAACTGTATATAACTAGTGTTTGCCCGATGGTAGAAATTTGACCATAACCATTCTTGAAAATGTGAGGAAAACATATATGAATTTGCATGTTTACAATATTTTTTCCCTACTCTTATACATCTGCACATAAACTTTAATGTGTACTTACAAAAAGACAAAACAGAGGAGAAAAAGGTACTGAACTGTTTTGTCAATTTATATAATGATTTTTTAAAATTTTACTTATTTATTTATTCCCCCTACCTTGCTTCCGGCAAAATGGGTGTTAGCAACTTTGTGGGGTATGAAAATGTTGCCAATTAACATCTAACGATCACATAGGCATCATGTGCTCATTTCCAAGCACCTCCTTCTTCTTCCTCTTCACCTTTTCTATCCAGCGGTTGTCCAGCAAATGGTTCTCTTCTTGTAATATTAAAATGACCAGGGCCAACTTTGGTTTTACATCCATAAACAAGGACTTGATGAACAGGTAGTTCTGTCACCAACTGAGTGCAATCATTCTCAGACATGTCATAGAGCCCAGTGTTTCCCTCAGAAGTTTAGCCCTAAGTGCCTCAAGGACGATTCAGTCCACAATAATATGTTCAGCTGTCTCCGGAACTCCACAACTGGGGCATAGGAGATCAATTTCATTTCCAGGGCTATGTAACTTAGCACGGAAACCCCATGCTCTGTAAGGAAGTGCGAGACCCAATAATCTGATATAATCCATTTCACTTTCAATTGTGACCAGACGGTGGGATAATATTGTCTAAAGGTAAAACCTTTGGCGGTAATTATAGGTAGGTATTAATGTAATGATGATAAAGAGAGCACAAAAAAAATAACAGAAGTTTCTGATGGAAAAATATTTCCCGAAACATATAATGTAACGAAATGTGACAAACAAAAGAATATACAAATCACAAGGCAGTTGTGATTGCCAACTTCACCTACATAATTTTTGTTTTCATATCTGTTTACAATATTTTTTGTTTAGTTGTTATCTTGTCTTTGGAGACCTGAAACTTAGGCCAAAAATTCGGCAAAAAAAATTATATTGTCTCAATTTTTATTTGTATTTTTCACAATGGCATCCTCATAATTAATTCCCTAGCAGTAAATTGGTAGTTTAACCTCAAATGTGCAGAAATAATTCTTATCATATGCAATGATTATTTAAGACAAAAATATAAAAAAATAATTCAGTATGTAAAGATAATGTAAATATGTTATATTAAGGATATAAAGAACACCATGTCTAATTTTGTAATTGTTCAGGGGAGGCAATTTTCCATAACTTTTAACCATTAAAATTTTCCATAACCATTACAATTTTTTTCTTAGTTAATAAATTATTTAATAATAATTGGGCATAATATCTTTTACCTTATGGACACAAATATGAGTTAATAAAAATATTATATTTGTATTATTCACCTTTACTTTCATTAGATATAATTCATTCAGTACTCTTCTTAAGTAATTCACGTCTGTTACAAATTCATTCCAAATTTTGGACTGGGTTTGTCTGAGTGTATTAGCTACTTTGCGTTCCAACTTATTTATATGCTTTGATCTCATAGCTCGAGAAATGAATCCAAGAATCATAACAAGATATCCAAGTCCAAACATGATCCATATAACCAGAAATACTTGATAAATAACTTCACCCACAGAATCAGTTGCTGTCTGTCCTGAAACCAATCATGAAGCTATCAAAATTAGTATTCTTGGTAATAACATTATAAGTTTGTCATTTTAGATCTTGAGTAATTATTTGATATTACATTAATCTTAATTAACCAACAATTATTTATGTAGTTGAAAGAATTTATTTATAGCTCTAAGGTAGCTCTAACATTACTGTGCGATCTCTACACTTGCTTTAGGATTGTTATGCATGTTCATATATTATTGTTAATTTTCTTTCTCTTTTCACATAACCATATTCTCTTCACATATTTTCTGTCATTATTTATTACTGCATTACATATCTTCTCCAGTTCTTCAGTGGTCATCATCCCTAATGATTTTCTTCTATGGCTGGGCCATAGATTTTGTGAAGGATTTTTTTTCCCTACATGTTCAATAATTTTTCTTCATGAAAGAATGTGAATGTCCAGGACTTGCTTCCATTTATAACAACTACTGGCATGACCGTCTTGTATACTGTTATTTTGATACTTCTTGGTATATCTTGAGAAGATATAATTAACGTTACAAAAACCATGTAAATCAAAAACTTGCAGGCAAAGGCCTCTAGTGATTTCATGTGCAATTACCTATTATACTATTACTAACAGTCAATTAAACTTATTTGTCTATAACATTGAAATTTAAGTAAAAAAAATATAATTACCTGCAACTAAATCTCCGTATCCAATAGTAGTTAGAGAAACAAATGAAAAATATAAGCTTTCTATGAATGACCATTCTTCAAAGTATTGGAAAATAACTGAAGGAACCAAAATGAATACTCCCATACCAGGGAGGAGATATACAAGTATATCTAAAATTAGAGTGAAACGTGACTCATATGTATGGTTTTTGTAACGATGATGTGCCCTTAAAAACTGTAATTTTAGATAGATTAGTTTTAAAACTAAAATAAAATAAATCCTTCATAATTATTTTTTATTAAATAATTACTTTAGAACCAAAGAATTCTCCAAGATGTGTTAACACTATTCCATTCAATGGAATTCCAACAAGTGAATATATTATCACACAGATCTTTCCCAGGTTGGAGGTAGGTGATAGATTTCCATATCCTTAAAAAGAAAAAAAAATCAGAACAAGAGTTGTCATTTGACTGAAACACATATAAATACAATCTATGGAAACCGATAAAAAAAAAAAGGTATGGTTAAGCGCAAATGTTTCTTTTGATTCTTACCTTTGCATTTCCTTAGAAAAGCTGAGACAGAAAGAAGAAATAAAAGTAATAGTTTTAATTTCCAAAAATTTATTTTATACTTAATAATAAATAGCGTAGAAGTAAATAACAAATTTATAAAAAAGTAAATATAAGACTGAAAAAAATTGTATTAATTAGAGAATAATGATTTGAAACACTTATTATTACTATTGGCTAGGAAACAGCAATTTTTCACAGAATATTGAATCCCAGAAAGCCCCTTAGTGGGTTGTTGTGATACAGATTATTTTTTTAAAAATTGTTTTTATTATTATTATATATATTTATGTAAATGAAGAAACAAGAATAATAGAGATTTTTTTTTTACTTATGTACTTACCTATAGTGCTTAAAGTTGTTAAAGAAAAAAAAAAAGAATTATAGAAGGTCCATTTATAAGGTTCTGCTTTTGTGGCATTTAATAGATGCTTTACTATTGGTTTTCCACAATAGGAAGAAACCCTTGTTATTAATGTTTGTGCTCCTCTTTCTCTATTGTTGGATTCTAATAGCCCAGTAAAACAGTATCCCAAAAGGAGACCTACAAAAAAATAATAACAATAAAACATTAAATGAATTTTAAAATATTATAGAGTAATGCTATATAATATAAGAAATACAAGTTTGTAATTTGTTATGTAAATTACCAAAACGTAGATGAGAAGACTATTAGATCCAACTATGTGGATTTTGAAATCGATGGAATGTATTGTGGACAAGAACCACTAGCGGATCCAGGATTTAATTTTGGGGGAGGGCTTCATCCCGAAAGCTTTTTTTTTTATATATATAACGACAATTACTTTGGAAAAAAACCCAGAAAGATACTAACTACAAATATGAAATGGTGTTTAAGTGATTCTTGAAGTCCTAATAAATGTAATTACATGAACATAATTATTTTAGATATTTTTTAAATATTTTTTACCATAAAATACGGTTACATTTTGGAAGGGGAAGGGACTTTAGTCCGAAAGACCTTTCTCCCTCCCTCATAGATGCATCTGTGACAAGACCTGATGCTGTCGTCAGCATTGAACCTCTGGTACCGCTGAACCTTTTAATTTATTTCAAAAGTTATGCGTTATAGTCCTCTACAAATGAGAATAATTGAGATCCTGTTATGATCTGGCTCATTGAGTTTGTTGTTCACATTTTTGAATATAAAAACAAAAATTACAATAGTTGGAAATAAAAATGATATATGTCAAAACGATTGAATAATAATTTTAAAAATGATTTCCGACTGTGCCCTCTATTGCACCCAGAGCTAAATATTGAATTTACATTTTACGCAATCAAATATTTATACAGTTAAGCTGAATTGGCTGATTTTTTTCATTAAACTTAATATTCAAAGTTACCAAAGTTTAGTTGAATTGTCATTTTGATTTATATTTTTATCTTTTAATTTTAATTCATTTTTTGCTTAGAAAATTTCTTTATATGTATATACAATTCTTTGATTAGACTTAAATATATCATATATCTATGTCTTTATTATTTTTAATGTATTGCACTACTAGTATAAATAATAAAAAGTAATAATAATGGGTAGTTGGGTTGAGTGATGAACCAATAGGGAAGGCGAATAAATACTATATTATAAATGAGGTAAATGCACCAGTAATTGACATGCTTAAGGAAATTTCCTTGAATTTTTACGTGTAAAAACTTAAATATTGATGTTATTATATTTTTGATGGATTCATCTTATAGAACTATTTCTCATCTTACCAAGACATATTTCAAATCATTAAAACATTTACCTAAATTTAAAAAAGATTGAAAATTAATAAAATAGTTTTGTTGTGCCAGTAGCTGACTCTGTTTGATTTGAAATATTGCTATAGCTGACGGAGATGAGAAAAAGGATGCAATAAGGGAAATTTCATATTCTTCACTTTAAGAATAATAAAAATTAATTTTGACTTATTATAAAACTAACTGCTTGCATTTTCCGGCTTAAATTTATCAATAAATTTTGGTCACTGTCAAGTCAATAGGAAAACCTATTTTTGCTTTATATTTAATCCAAATTATTAGCAATTTTTTTTTTCTAACGTGACAGTAGCGACATGTCTTATTTTTAAGAACCATTATATTGACAAGACTAAAGCCAAGCTAATAAGAATACATTGAAAAAATATATAAACTGAAAATATATGAAATAGAGGTCTAGGATGTCCTGAAATTTTATTATTCCCATTTTTCGAGGAGGGAGTCAGGTATTGGTACACTATCAGCTATTGGTGCTTTTATCGTAATGTAGTACTTATTTATATTTAAATTATTTATGTTTATGTATTTATTGGTTCATTGATGAATAAATACCACAATATGTAACCATCTTCACCTTGCAGGCTAAATGATTAGGCTCATTTCATCAATGGTAAAAAAAAACAAAAAAAAACCCTAAATATTCATAATAGTAAATATCCATACAACTTAAAAAATAAAATAAAAAGGCAAATATTGTAATAAATTAAATATAAAGCAAAATCTTTTTATTGCAGTGATAAGAATAATGGGAAAAATGATTCATCAAGGTTGGCAACATTGATACAGATAAGAAGTGCTTTTTCATCACTCTTCAACAAGTTTTTCAATCATTTATTAATTTATTTTATTCTTTGTCAGGAATTATTGTACTATTATTTTGCAATGTATTTATTGATCATAATTTGGAGTTAATTTACAATCGGGTAACGTGATAAATGGATTATCACTTTGTTTGAAGGTTATGCCGCTGCTATATAACCGTTGATAATTTGAAACGTCTGCCATGCTTGTCGGTTACTGATTAGATTAGAATTGTTCTTGCGTTCATATTTTACTACAAACTAATTATTTGATTGTATTTGAAACCATGGTGGTAAGTTTACTGCTTGCTCTCGATATTTGTGATGTTCGCGGAATGTTTTTACGTAGATTTTACATTAATTTCAGAAAGTTGCTTTACTGATATCATGCACCTTAGAAAACATTAACCAGTTATCTACATCAGGTCCTGATTTCCAATGGAATCTCAAGGTAATTTAAATTGTAAGAGAATTTAATAATTGTGTAATCAATCTTTGTGAATTATTCTTATTTATTAACCTGAATTATTGCTTTTAATTTTATTATTTGATGTTAATCATTCCTAATACCTATCTATTTCAATTTCATTTTTTTATTTAAGCTTCAGTGTCGTAATTGTAATGAGATTGATCAAGCTTGGCATGCTATTAATGAAAACGAAGAAGTACCTGGAAGCAGAGGACCTGGTTCTTTTAATTTTCAAATGAAATGCAAATTTTGCTCATCAGTTTCAACAATTGGTATACTTGAATTATTTATCAATTTAATTGTTATTTTCCTTAAAATATAAATAGTTGGATGTAAGTATCATAAATTGGACACAAAACTGAAGTTAACAGTTTTGGTCTACTGTTAGGAATATTTTGATAGTCTGATGGATACTAGTTCTGTTCTCATGATTTCATTTATGGTGTGATCATGAGGAAGTGTGCCTCCCATTAAAGTGGAGTGACACTTATACAGTCGTACCAATATTTAGGGAGTGAGGTGGCCGAACAGGCTGACGCGTGCGTTGTCTGGTAACCTGATAACCAAGTTGCAGACAATAAAATTACGAGCTTCCCTCCCGGTGTCTTGGGTTTTTTTTCAAATTTCCTGTCCTCATCCCCTGAACCTCCCTGGAAACCCCCCTCCCTCCCACCGTATAGCCTAAAAAGGCAACATAGGGGAGGGAAAGAACAAAAAAAAGAACAGAAAAGTAGTACCAATATTTAAATATTTAGTCGATACTAACTTGAAATATTTAAATAAATATAATTTGTAGAACTCCAATCTGATAAGGATTACCTATAAATAACAATGATTAACACGCTATGAATTTTTGCAGCAAACAAAATATTTTATTTTATTATAGATTTTCTCTATTCCACATTAATTTATATTTATCAGCTGAAGAGATGTTGGGAATTTCAATTAATTTTTAATTATAATTTATTCTAGCTTTGTGTTGAAGCTTGACTAGCGATATCAACTTATTTTTTTGCAGAAGATATTTTCCTTATTCTGTAATATAATCTAACCTAATCTAAGTAGTATGGGCAAATTAGAAATATATATAAGGCAGCTCTGTGGAAATGAAAAGGTTTGTCAATATTTGGCTGCATTCGGCATTCATTGGGAATCTGGGAATAACATGCCACACTTGAAACTGGCCACAATCTTGGAGTATGGAAACGGAAGTGGTACCATCTTGCGTATTGCCATGTACATTTTGGTACTAATTCACAAGTGACACAACTGGATGCCATGGGCCAAGTTGATATAATCATACTGCCCATTAAACGTTGAAAATAGTCGAGTTTGTCTGGAAAAATTTGGAGGGGAACAATAAATAAAACTTTCACTTTTTTGTATTATTCTATTTGTAAAGATAGGTAAACGTGCGAAATGACTTAAACATGACATTCAGGTTATATTGGATGCGGGTTATTGAATATCGAAAGAAACATAATTTTTGTGTTTTCGACTGAAGTTAATAATGTATTATCCAGCATAATGTAAATGAACATCAATAATCACAATTATATGAATTTTATCAAAACAATAATGATTGAACTGAGGAAACATTTGAAAAATTTTAAAATTGTTAAGATTAAATTTTTTTAAAAGCCAGTGTAATTTTGTTTGAATAGTTTTTGTACTGGCTATATTTAATGGTGCTGATTTATTTGGTAGAATATATGAAGGTTTTTCTATTTTCCAGATATTGTAAAGGATTCTATTAAACCATTAAAAACTGATGGCGATGCCATAATTAAACAGAAAGCTGTTGTTTTTGATTGCAGAGGTGTTGAACCTATCCAGTTTGATCCACAGGTACATGAGTTATTTTTCTACATTATTTTACAATGGTTAAAATAATGCGAGTTTCTAAACTCAGCAGTGAGTTCCTCGATGGAATTGTTAAGTCAGTTTAGAGTTCGATTTCATGAAACTTGAGATATTTTTAATTATTGTGTTAATTGAAGAGCTAAATGGCAAGTACAGCAACACTACTATCTTTATATATTATTTCTCAAAGGTGTTTTTTTTGTGGGTACCCTATATCTTTGTCAATTCTTCATCAAATCCAATGATTGAGCCCTCATTTTGAAGATCTTCTCCTTCTGGGGCAAAAAATAGTCACATTCCTCTGAAATTTCAGGAAAAAAAGTTATTAAGGGAAAGAATTTTGTTTGCGATGAACTCAAAAAGTATGCATTTTTTTATATTTTTATTGTATCCATGATTATTTGGAAGATTACTTAATTGTCTTCAAAACCAAAAGAAAAAATTATCAAAGTTGGAACATTATTAGCTGAAATACAGGTCATTGTGAATTTCGTAGACATTTTGGTTTAAAACATGAATGAAGTTTTTTAAATAATTTTCTTTTCCTTGGTCGATTATAATCACTGAAAAAATTGGAAATGATTCCTCCATTTCATGATACGTAGAATTATTTAGTCATTTGTTTACTGACCAATATTCTTTACGAATTATTCGCAGGTCAACTAGTCGCATATTTATTTCTCTAACAACTCTGGTACCATATTAAAATCTCCAGTACAAACTTTATTTTTGCGGTAACCGGTCATTTAGGTTAATATCAGAGACGGAAAAACCAAAATAACTTACAATGGGTTATTTACTCATAATCACCATTCATAGTAACCTACAATGCTAAAAAACTGTCACAAAAACTTGAGCTTTACAAAGGCCATTTTGATTTAGATAAATTAATGTGCTTCTTGGAAAGCAATATTTAAATTATTCTTCTAAGCACAAACCATCGTTTTTTCTCAAACATCACATACCATATTCTTCCATTTATATCTTCAATTAAGTAAATTATAAAATGTCGGTTTAATACTTGCTGATGATGCTACTGATTTGAGGTTTTATAATATAATAAAGTCACTATTATATCTCACAGTTATAAAATCACTATTAATAATGAAATATTAAATTATGCTTTGGTATTGTAATTTCAGGATGGGTGGGTAGCGAAGTGCGATGAAACTGGTTCTGTCTTTTCTGAAGTTGAGTTTGGTGAAGATGGTATGTGGGCTGGTTACGATGAGAAAGGAAAATTTCCAGTAAGTATTGATGAATTTAAAGGTGAATTTGTGAGAGCATAAAAAAAAGAGAATAAGAATTTTTTGAAAATTGTATATAATTAATGTAAATACAAAAATACATTTTTTTTATTCTATGTTCTTGTAGTTTGCTGTTATTTCCTCATACTTCCTAAATTTAGTTATTCATTTTATGATGATATGAAATTTGTTAATTTGTTGTTTGACTGACTAAGGTAACACAGGGTTGCGACCAACCTAGAAAAATGGGAAAAGTCAGAGATTTTTTCAGTATGTAAATATTTTTTTCAAATTGGAAATAAATATACAGTGGATATCGTTTGTAATTACCTTGAAGAGGTAAACTTCGTCATTATAAGTGACCATGGTTGCTGTATTCATCCACCTTTGACTGTCAATAACGGCTCTGGTCGTAATATTGAAATCAAACAAGCGTAGTAATGAATACAATTTAGGCAAAATAGACTTAAAACAGTATTTTTTTGAAAAGAAAAACATTTGTTTTTTATTTATGAGTTTCTTCAATATGAAGTTTTCCTCAACCAAACTCCATTAGCAAGTCTCTCCATCTCTCTGCCTGTCCATTGCATCCTTCTCCAACAGTCCCCTATCAGCCATGCTCTCCACCACTTTATCCTTCCATCTAACTGGGGGGTCTTCCTCTTCTTCTTCTACCCTCTGCCTCCCAATCCATAATTATCTTTGGTATTCTATCATCGCCCATTCGTCTCACATGGCCATACCACCTGAATATCTTTTCTTCCATTACCTCAAGGATATTTTGCTTTATTTCCAATCTTTCCCTTATAGTGGCGTTCTTACCCTTTCAATCCTTGATATCCTAGCAGCTTTCCTCCAGAAATCTATTTCAACTGAAAGTAATTTTTTTTCCTGGGTCATACTGAGGGGACATGTCTCCGAACCATACAGCATCAAACGTTGTACCAAAGCTTTGTATATTAATTTTTATGGTTTTATTAAAATATTTCTGCACCAGAGAAAAGAATTAAGCATTCCCACTGCTTTTTTACCATTCGTGATCCTTTTTGGGATTTCTTCCTCTATTCTTCCATTACTTTCAATTAGAAATCCCAAATAATAAAGAGAAACATACTAATAATATTTACTATTTGTAGTATATACATCTATGGACATATTTTTTATTTTGTTTTATAAAGTAATAAACTTCTTAATGGTAATTCTGTCTGTAGATAATGTCCATTAGAACATTTTTCGATCTTTAAATGTAGAGTCCTGTCGAGCATCAACTTAACGTTTCCCCCAATACGTCAGCGTCATGATATTTCTCACAAACTGTCACCTTAACTTAAATCCATTCATTATTCAACTGAAAGAGAACTCGTGCAGCTTCACAGCTATTCTTTAAAACATTATTGTGTTGGAAGCAGAATTTTGTATCCATCCTTGCAAAATATTGGTTTGAGGTTCATCAAATGGATCGTGAATTGATTTTAAATATTCAAAATTAAACTTTTCGAGTAAAATCTGCCTTACCCTGATGGCGGAATATTGAGAAGAACCTATTTTGTAGTTGCAGATTGTCATTTTTTGGATTTAAAAGATTCAACATGCTGTCTTGAATAGATTCGCAATTTTTCCAAATTGTTGGAATACTTAGGTTTAATTCTATAGCCAGGCTACTATTGGACTTTTCATTCTCCAGTTGGCAGCATATATGGAATTTTTCTTCCAAGAAAAACTTCTTGCTCTTCCATATTCATATTATAGTACTTAACAGAAATATTAATTTAATGCTAAGAGTGGGGAGTGACCGTTTATATTGGCAAACAATAGATATCTATGTATAACTTAAATTTTATTTTGTATTATATTTTTAGTTAATTCAGGTGGCTACAGTCGATGCAATTCACTGCCTGGCAAATAATCATCTGTTCGACCCGTGGTGCTCTTTAAAAGAACATTTATTAACCACAGTTGTCATAGTTGGTGTCATATGGATAATTATTACACTGTTTATAGTAATAAAGAAACTAAATTACTTATGAGAAACTACATTAATATTGGGTTGGCAAATAAGTCCTTTCTGTTTTTCAGGATGAAATAAAACTCAATGTATTATAGACATAAAATTTATTTTAATCTACAATATATTGATCATTATTTAATATGACTTTTTCACATCTTTCCCTTAATTGCATAAGGCCATGTTCATAATGTCAAGTTCATTATTAAAAATCTGATCCAAGTGGTTTTTGATGTCCTCTTCATTTTGGAATTTCTTTCCATTCATGAAGTTCTGCAGAGACCGGAATAACTGGTAGTCACTTAATTTATTGTGAGTGACCAATGAGGTGTGGGGCCTAGCATTTCTTGGTTGAACACAACACCCTTCTGATCATTCATAACTCTTCAGGATGTTCTCCAAATTCGATCTGTTGGAAAGCTGAATTATTACTCTTCAAAGCCGTATGGATGGTTTTTTTATTTAATGCCTATAAGGAATAAATAAACAAAAACTCCTTTAGGATTTTATTTTTTATATCCATTTATAGTCTGTTTACGAAAGTCCTGTTTATGTCATTTTGTGTAGTTTATGTGGCCCTAAATTCTTGCTAAATTTCTTGTAGATAGCTAAAGTTGAAGTTAAAATATTTTTTGTGATTTTCAAAAAAAATATGTGAAGGACCCAAACATTAAGCCTGGAAACATAGCCAAGCTTGTGCAAATGGTTTTCTACGCTTGTGTGCAGCACATTTAGGCCCCTAGCAATCTCTCGCACTGATTGGGTGGGATTTTGATCAACAATGGCCTTAACATTGCTCGTTTCAATTTCATGTGGGCGACCAGACCGTTGAGCATCATTGATGCCAAATTTTCCTGAATGAAATTTGGCAAACCTATTTTGACAGGTGTGTTCGGTTAAGGCATCATCCCCATAAACAATGCAAATTTTTCTATGAGCTGCAGCTTATGCTCTTACTTTTTATAAAATAATACAATAAAATATGCCGATAATGAATGATATTTTCTTCCATATTCACAGTGCAATAGCAAACACAATACTAAGCTAATTTCAACAAGAGTTAACAGGTATAGTGGTTGACATATTACAAACAGGATAAACAATCCATCTTAAGGATTAATTCATCAGATAAGAAGTGTATCATAGTGACATAAAAATAAACAGAGAAACCGAAAGGACTTATTTGCCAACCCAATATTAGAATCCCCCATAGCTCACTTTATTTTACAATAGCTTTATATGTTGTGTTACATTTTTTACATGCTCTCAGTTTATGAAAATAAAATATAAAATAGAAAAATTAAAAATAAAATGACTAAAAGTCTAGTTTTCTAAAATAATAAAGAATCCTAGTCAAGCTTAAAAAATGCTGCCTTCAAAATAATTATATTTGTTATTTAAAAGACTGATTTTTTTACTCAAATCATTTTTAAATTTAAATCATTTTAACTTGAACACCCTCAGTGCTCAAACAACACGCCCTGAAGATGACCCACATTTTGGGTTGAAACGTTGGCACAAATAAAAAATTAAAAATCATTTTAATTTTAAGTTTTACTTTCCTACCTATATTAGGTAAGGAAAGTATTGCGATCGGGTCAAATTTCCGTTATGCGGTTTTTGACGAATCTATACTTTTCAGAGCTCCCAGAGTTCGAAAAACACTTTTTAGCCATCGTCTGTCTGTGCCAAGATTTTCTCGGGAACTAGTGAACCAATTTTGTTGCTTATTTTTTTATTTTGTAGAGTTTTGACTACTGATGCCTGTGACACAAATTGGGTGCTCCATGCGCAATAGATGCAGTGCAATAAATGAAAATCACCTTTTTCTATAGACTTGTGCGAAAACGGCTCTAATGATTTTGATAAAACTTTTCTATGATGTTCTAATAATTGTTCTTTCAATTATAGTACATGGTATATTCGTACAGAAAAACACCGTTTAGGCTGTTTTTTTTTAGCCTGAAAGGTAATGATATTTCCTACAAAACTATGTAAAAATCATTCATTTTGGACAACTATTAATGATGTTATAGCTATTAAATTTCCAATGTAAGATTACGGGTTCATATACAGGTGTCAGAAGGGATTGAATGAGAGAAAAAAGATAACTAGAAGTGAAAATAAAAAATTTGTTGCCCGCATCACACAAGCTTCACTATTTCCACTATTTTTAACAGAAATTATTGTTTGACAAAATTAGGCTATGGCAATAAGTTTCTGATGAGCAATATTAGAGGGTATTGAAATTTTTACACTGATCTACCTTAAGCCAGTTTACATTGCTTTAGTTTATCAAATTAATTGTACTGAAATCTTTTCTTTGATCAATTTTCAGGAAAATAAATCTAATTCAATTTTTTTTGTGTTTCTTGATGGACATATCTAAAGCTATAAATACTTTTCTGAAATAAGTAGGAAAGTCGTGTGAGTGGACACTCCAGATTTTCTTTTATTTATAATAAATAAATTTTAATATTTGGGTCCGCAGACATATTGGTTAGAAAAAACTATTTAATTTTACTTTTACCTTAACTCTGTAAGATAATAATGCTTATGCTATAAAATAAAAATTCTTGTAACTATTCTTAATTGGTAGTTATAATTTGGAAAAAATAGTGCTTTAGTTTGAATCAAGGGTACAGAGGTGCCTATTCTCCTCAATGTTGATGGCACAAGAACTTACCGCCCTCCCTCCTCCCAAGATATTTTATTATTCACCTTTTCTTAAAAACAAAGCAAGCTAAGGTAGAATTAGAAAAATTGTAGATCATATGCAATTACACTTGCTGCGGTGTGTTGCATGTTTCCTCTTTGTCCGAAAATTCATAACCGAAATTTGCCCTCCTCAAAAAAAAAAAAAAAACCTGTCAAAATATGCTCCCCCTCAAATTTTTGATAGCGCCATGAAACCTCCTTCTGGGCAGGAGTAATTAACCCAAGGCACACGGGCCATGTTGCATTTTGGGTGTTGGAAATTTGCCTGTTATGTTATGAAAAAAAACTTAAATTTTTTATTTGGCATAAAATGTTATTTCAAGCTCCGCAAGTTTGATATAGGTGACTAAATTACTGTAACAATACTTATATTTTACTGCTTAAATGATAATAGATTGTAGATGGTTGTAATTGACAGGTGCGGATTAATAAATAAAAGTGCTAAAAAAAAAAAATGATAATTAATAACTGTTTTCATAATTTAGTTTATTTCTCAACATTAAAAAGAAAGAATAAAAATCTTATTAAAAACAAGGACCTTATTTTTACATTACTTTTTTTAGTATTTTTGTAAGTTCTGGAAAAAAAAAAAAAATTGTACCATCAAATTAATTGAATGTGTTTACATAGGAATCTTTACTGCGTTACTTATCTCGATTTTCATAAAAATTGATTAGGATTCTCTTCTGAAATAAGTGATTCATTTATATTTTTGAAACATTTATTTTATTTTTTTGTTTGTTTGTGTATCTTAACTATTAGTTGCATAGAATTCGAAATACCATAATGATTATTGAAAATTTGAGAAAACATAATTAATGAATTAGCATTTTTCCATAATTTTCTTTTTACTCATATATTTGTTCATTTAGTTTTATATGTACATACAAAAGAAAACAGTGCAATACCGTTTGTGTACTTTATGAATTATAGGCAAATAAGAATGTGAATCCATCGTACCTTTTTCAAAAAAATATTTGAACCCACTTTGCTCACTCAGTGAAAAATCGAGGCAAAACATTTTTATTGTTTTATTGCTATGTAAATTCGTATTTGAGAGGTTTTCTATATGCAAAATACTATTCTCAATTTGGTTTCTCCTTAAGAAAATATGTGATGAAGAAAATACCACTTTGCTTCTTTGGTTTGTACAAATTGTTTCATTTCACTGTTGTACTTATATTATAGACATATTTTAAACATTAATTAGTCACAATATAGCACTTCTAAAAAATATAAACTGAAAAAATACAATCAAAATATCTTAGTGGACATGAATCTTTTCGATTTTGATTTTTTTTTTTTTATTATAATTTTGTACTGCTTTATATATTTCAATTTCATTTAGCTTTTCTCTATTTTTTTATTTTTTATTTATTTATTTATTTTTTTTACCTATGTATGTTAAACTCTTTTTCTTTTATCTCTATTTTAGTTATCATTTGTATGTATATATTGTGTGAATGTTTAATGTAGCCCTAATATTAATGCCCTCCAATGCGGCAGAATGTATTAATTTCAAATAAAAAAAAATAAAAAAATTTTGTAGAGAATTTAGTAAGCTTTCAAACACTCATAGGTTTAATGAACCAAAAATAGTATACTTTTTGAGTTATTCGTAAATAAAATTCTGAATCTACCTTTACTTTTTTTTCAGCCTCTTTTTGGGGAAGTATGCTGTATACATAAATTAAAAGGGCTTCAAGAAGAAGACGTTAGTCAAAACTTTAATAAGTTGTTTACTAACTGCTGTTTTGGCACTACACTCTATAGTGACACACTTTTTCAGCTGCCATTTAGAAAGAAAAAGCCAGATGGTAATGAAATGTATATAAAAACACTCCTGAATTGGATTGCAACGTGTCATAATTTCAAAGCAACTGAAGAATGTTGGTGATTATCAGTTTTGAACAAACTAACAGTTGCATTTTTATTTATATAGGATGTTTCAGGGTTAAGTGGCCAAACTGCAAAAATGAACTAAGGACCTCAAAAAAAAAAAAAAAATTTCCTCTGAAGGTATGTCCACAAATGCTTTGTTTAGGAGATATTCACACCTAAAGATTTTCGTCGTTATGAATTATTTACATTATATGAAATAAATAAAACCTCTTTATTTGTTCTAACTACTTTATTAATTAAATGTAAACATTAACATTCATATTAAATGTTGTTCAAAGTGAAGGTATGTCCGCAAATGCTTTGTTTTGACCGTGCAAGACCAGTGGCTTGGCCTGCACACTACTGGATTTTTTTGTTTGGGAAGTTAAACAAAAAGTCTATGCAAGTCCGGTCAATGACCTTAATTCCTTACAAAGAAGGATAAATGAATCTTGTGAAACAATAACACATATCCAGTGCCGTTCTGCCACTACTGCTGTTGAAGAAAGATGCTGAGTCTGTCATACTGCTGATAATGTTCAAGGAAATCACTTTGAACAACATTCAATATGAATTTAATGTTTACGTTTAACTGATGAAGTAGTTGGAACAAATAAATAAGTTTTATTTACTTAATATAACATAAATAATTAAGAACAATGAAAATCTATCTTCTGTATGAAAATCTTCTGTGAATATCTCCTGAACAAAGTTTTCTTGTTTGAAGTCCTTAGTTTATATTTTCAGTTTGGCCACTTATCCCTGAAACACCCTTTATGCACTGTTTCCAAAATTTATTTATTGATAACAGTAAAACTCGTCAATTGCTACTAAACAAAAAAAGGAAAAGAAAATTCTTTGAGAAAAGGTAATGAACTGTTTTGTCTAAAAAAGAAATGTAAAATTTGACTACTTACTTTCAATTTCATTATCTGCTTTAAGTTTTTCAGATCGTCTTTGTTCTTCCAGTCCCCTCTCTATTGTGTAAAATATTGTCGCACCAAGAAATAAGTACGCAATGAAGAAAAGCCATAGTACAAACCATCTTCTTTTTGACATGTTTTAAATATGTCAAGTATCAAAATATGGGCAGTGATTTTCATCGCCCTTTTCAAAGCTGGAGTTCATCATGCATTCTTTGTTTTTATGGTCAGATGAAACATTTCATTTATGTTTTCTTATGTTTATTTTATGATGTATACTTGTTTGTTCTTGCCCTCTCGTCCTGTAATAAAAAAAAAAAAAAAGATGCTTTAGGTTTGGCAGTATTTAATGTAATGTTTAGTGATATTGGGAGTGTTAGCTCAGTGGGTAAGCACTGACTTCCTAAGCTCAAACTTCAGAGTTTGATTCCGGCTGATGACTGATGAAGTATTATTTCATCAACCCTGGAGCCAAGAAGACCCTCCTGGGGCACGCCCAGCCTATATTAAGTGGGTAATCTTAATTAAATAATTAATTTAGTAGGAAAACTTGGTGATTGAGCCTGATCCCAGCCCAATCACCTCCCTACACAACAGTCAGCCTTGATACAGTACTTCCTTACTATGTGCTGAACCAAAGACCCTTGGGTTGTAGTGGTACAGAATTTTTTTTACTTTTGCTTACCTACATATATAATCTATATAAATAAAATAAAGGTTTTGTCTGTACATTGAATAGAATCAACCCGTTTCATGATATCTTTCCATTTCACACATTATATACACCAAATCCACTTTTAAAAAATTTGTTGTCTATCTGTCATTGTCCAACGAAATTTTGTCAGAGGTAAGCTCAGCAATGGCTAATGGTAGGCTTTTCAAATTTTGACATTATATTAAGGCTTGCTTGACTTAAAACTTAAGCTTTAAATGAAAACGAAATATTGAGTAGAACTAAAGTTATGAATTCTTGAGTAATTTGTCTAGAGATCCCAGTTAGGCAGTTACTTCAATTCTCATCTCAACCTGCTCTATCGCGAGCCATATTAAAAAGTACTGCTATTCAACTGATGGAAAAAATTATCACAACTCAACAGAAAAATCCAAAATCCCGAACATCTGTAACGCGTTGTCGCTTAAAACATGGGTAAAACATTTTTCGACTTGGCCCTATCTTTCCGTTCAAGGTGTCATTAGCTTCAACTTTCCAAGCCTAACACATGTTTTATACATTTTTAGGATTAACCAAACGGATTAGTCAGAAATTGGAAAAAAAAACCGTCAAGGACGGGTGCATCAGCTAGTATATAATAAGGGAAAGTATTGCATTCCTGAAAAGTTTTGAATCTGAGTTTTCGACGGAAATACATGTTTTGAAGTCCCCTGAGTCCAAATAACCAAAATGGTGTATCTGTGTTTGCATGTGTGTGTATGTGTATGTGGACAGTCTACCTAAAAACCTAAAAGTCATATACAGTTGAAATTGCATATAGTTTAATCAAGGAATGGCCCAAAAGAGAGTGTAGAGTGATGAGAAGTGACCTAATCAATCAATTCAGAAAGTTGTTCAAGGTGCTTAGTGTGTGAACATATCAAAAGTCCTCAAGTCTAGGTGGTATATCTCTTAAACGGTGCGTCGTAGGAAAAATTGTCAAATAATAAATAATTTATGAAATTATTTTAAAAAAAATTTCTGTAGGTTTTAAGCGAATTCTCAACAGTTTTCGAGCTTACAGGCTTGAAAAAAGTTGACATTTTCGAAAAAAAAACATTTTTCACGAAACTTTCTTTCATATCGTATAAGCTATACATTCGCGAAAGAAATTCATTTAAAATAAATTGTAGAGGCTTAAATTCTCTATTACAATAAATATTAACTTTTTCCGAGCGGTGTAGCTCGTAAACGGTTTAGAATTCGGATAAAACCTATAGAAGAAAAGTTATAGATAATTTTATAAACTTTAATTTATTATACGAAAAATTTTCCCTGCGACGCACCGCTTTCGAGATATAAGAGAAATTTAAATAATTGTGACCTTTCCTTCTCCCCCCCCCGCCTTCTCACCTAGACGTCAGGGCTTTTGATATGTTCATTCCCTAAGCACCTTGGAACAAGTTTCTGAAGGAATCGCTTAGGTCCTAGCTCACGCACTCTTTATCTTCTTTATTGACTGGACTATTAAGTCTTTTTTCTGGATCTTAGTAGGGATGGGTTTTCATGAATGAGGCATCAAAGGAAGACAAATTTCATGAAGAAGTGATGGTACAGAATCCTTTTTATCGAATTATTAACATCCGGCTGAAACTTCGTCAATAGCTTCTTCTCATCGTAACCTACAAATATTTTATTTACAATTCTCGGAGTTGGACATTTTCAATCTGGAGGTCTGAAAACTTTCGTCTATTTAATTAGGTACTAAAAACTCGTAAATACCCATTTGCTTACCACTTGAATTGTAAGATAACTTCAGGCACAAAGCCAAGAAAAATGGTGGCCTTCAAAAATATTGATCCGTTTGGCCTGTATAATATCGTTATTTTGACAATTTGGGAGTGTAGGTCACGCCAAACGAATCTATATTTTTGAAGGCCACAGTTTTTTTTTGACTTTGTACTCAAGTTATCTTACGTGGAAAGCAAATGGGTATTGACGAGTTTTTAGTGTCTAATTAAATAGAAAAAGTTTGCCGACCTCCAGATTGAAAACGCCCCAATTCCGAGAATTTTCGTAAATAAAATATTTGTAGGTTACGATGAGATGGAACTATTTAAGAAGTTTCAGCCGGTTGTTAATAATTCGATAAAAAGGGGGTCTGTAACACTAATAATTTCGATCCTTAAATTGTTATAAAAACTAATAATAAAATTTATAGATTTTTTTGTAGATTAAGATTTTTACGATTAATAAAACTGATTTATCAACTACTAAAATTATGATCAAGCCCCTCTCAACTCAAATTCGATCCTCTGTCTTGTTAAAATGTATTATTTACTTCATTTATGTATCAGGAGATAACGGTTGAGAATGATTCATAAATAATTATTCTTCATTAATTATAATAATAATAATAATACCACGGACTATGAAAAATAAAATAAAAATGTAAGTAAATTAAATATATTCGAGTTGCTTAAAAAAAATTGAATTCGCATGAGAACAAGCTATTAGTTCAGCTGAGAAAATATCATAATTTTTATTTTTAAAAATCAATATTTTTGTTCTATAATTTTATTACGATGTTATGTCGTTTTAGATAGTAAACAGATAGAATTACCTCGGCTCCATAATAATCTCAATAAATGTCCAATTATCACAAAATATACCAACGTATAATAAGTGTAAACAGTTTTCTTATCTTTTTCAAAAGTATTGAAATTCCAAAAAATCCCTATGAATTTCAAATTATGAGGCTATCTAGGATCACAATAATGCAGATAAAAGACCCAATAACTACTTAATGCATACAAAAAACTAGTCAATCAATATAGCATGATACGAAAGCAAGGAGGTAAAGATGGGTGGGACATGTAGCTCGGAGCAATCCATTACAGGAAGAACACCTCTTACAGAAGTAACGAAAAGCATATATTTCAAGCAAATAACACGTTACTTATTTATTAGGACGCGTATCTGTTACTATTGAATAACCGAACATAAAACTCGCGCATTAGCCATTATCCATTAACACTCCTCACATACGCGGAAGATTCAATTAAACACGAGTTATTGATGAATTCTTTTAAGAGATTCTTTTCTGTCTTCACTTCAGGGTCATCTGCTTTCTCTTAGCCTTTAACATCCAAAAGATCGAGTGATTTTGACCTCGTTCTTCGTGCTAAATATATCACATTTCGTAATAAAGTTTATTTTCAATGCTAGTGAAGATAACGGCGTAGTAGACAAAATGATATATTGATCAATTATAATTATTATTATTCAATTCACTTTGAACAATATTTAATATGAATCTTAATGTTTACATTTAATTAATAACCTAGTTAGAACAAATAAATAAGTTTTATTTATTTCATAATAGCTTTACCCGGCCACGCGCTGCTGTGGCTTAGCCTGACAAAATGAAAAAGACAGAAAATAGAAAGCACATTTGAGTGGATTAGTAGCAAAGGACATCTGCCATTTTTAAAAAGTTGGGAAACAAATTTGTCTATAAAATGGCTTCAATTGAAACAAATTCTATCTGAGTAAATACGTCATCATTCATAATTCACAGAAACAATCTGAGTCGAACTTATAAAACTAAATAAAAAAATTAATTAAAAAAAGGTATAATAGTATTGACGGCAAATCAGGAATCTTTCAAATAAATGTGGGTATTATCAGTCAAAAATTGTGTACTTTTTTAGTTATCGTCAAATAAAATATTGAATTCATCGTAACATTTTTCAACTTGTTTTCGGGAAAGTATGTTATACAGATAAATTAAAAGGGTTTCAAGGGGAAGACTTTAGCCAAGTTTCGTTAAAATCGGTAAAGCCGTTTTGGCAATACAGTTTATAGCGACACATTTTTTGCGGCTTTGAACAGAAAAACATTTACATTTTTATTTTTTATACATATATAAAATTATCGTAAGACAGAAGTACTATGCCAGAAACCTTCCCAGGAGTGTACGGAACAACTTCCCAAAGTTTCATGGCGATCGGTTGATTGATTTAGTAATGCACTAAGGACAAACAGACGGACAGACAGACACATTCATTTTTATATATATAGATAACGTAAATAATTCATAACAACGAAAATCTTTAGGTTTGAATATCTTCTAAAAAAAGTGTTTGCGGACATACCTTCAGAGGAAATTTTTTTCTTTTGAGGTACTCTGAAACATCCTTTATAAAATGTGATAAATATTTATGTAGTTGTATGCCATGTTTTGAATTGATAAATCATTTTTATTGGTTGTCGAAACGTATCAAACAAATTTTAAGCGTTTTTCTTTTTAAATATAGTTTACATCATAAATAGTTTTTGATGGTAAACAATATTTTTAATTTTTTTTATGATCACAATTTTTGAACGGATACCGATCTTTTGGGAAGCTGTTACTAAAAAACAAAAAGGAAAAAAAAAAAAAGAGATACTGTAAATGCATGCAAATGAGAGTTTATCTGTCTCTGAAAGTTGCATAATAACGGCATCGCTCGAGTTCGTCTGTCTTTTTCGTTAACATCTGAATCCTGTGTTTAAATATTTTTAACATTATTTTTTTATTCGGATATTTAGTGTGAAGAGTTTGAATATTACATATAAAGCTTATGCAGAGTGAGTAAATTGAAGTTC